TCCATATAGAGTATTATATTATAATAGCATCTTAAAACAGTTGGCTAGGCATACATAACTCAGTGCCACAAGATAGAGAAACAAATATTTCTCTGTGACATCACATCCAAGACAACAGTCAAATGATGCATAACTCTTAGTTCAAGTCAATATGATGATCAGTGTAGCCAATACCATATGAGTTTTTAACCTAGTAATCTGAGAAGTGGACGTTACTAGCTAAGGGTTCACTGTAAAACTACAAACTCATTCAGAGATACATAATTGTTGTTTGTCTGCAATTAAGCTCTTAGTAGTTCAGAAATGTGTTTACTGAGAAGTTATTTAAAATATTTTTCATGTGACAATAGGCTGTTCACATTCTCCAATGAATACAAATACAATGGCGATCACAAACAGAGCCTACCTTTTGCGGTAAGTAAGCGTCATATACAAAACGCACACAGATAACTAGAAACAACTGCTTTATAGCTTAAACTTGTTTCCAGAAAGCCAAATAATATTCCACTTGCCCAAGAGCATGAATGCTGTCTCAGAAATACTTTTTAAAAGAATAATTAGGAAAAAATGATTTAAAGCTTAGAAATACGAGCAAAGACAAATGTCTAAAAAATTATTAAATATATATCTTACAAATCTTAAGATGGCTTTTCAGACTTTAAAATCTGAAAAGAAACTCAAAAACAGTGATATAGCTACATAGCCTTAATTTTTAATGTGTGCAAGGATATGTGAGGAATCATTTTGATGCCCTGGTACCGCAACTACAAATAGATTATATTGATCGTCTTTAGCATCAGACAGTTGAAGTCACTTCCTTACCTCAGAAATAAGCATTCTCAATAATATCTTCTATAAGCACACAGATAATAGAGGAATTGCATCACATCTATTGCTTGGGATGAGCCAACACCACCAGAAACAATAGATATATTTATTAATACATTTTGACACTTGCTCAATGAATCACATCTCGCACAAATTGATCCACTCACCCCTTGCGGCTATGTACCAATATTTCTTGTTAGTGTGCAAGTCCAATACAAGAACAGACCTGAGGTCTTAATGAAACAACTTGACATGCATAACAGAAAGGATAGAACAAACTCTGCTCATGCCCCTAAAAGTACATAAGTACTTTCTTACTAAACTTTATAAATATGAAATCTCATGGAGACACACACGCATACACACTATCACACAACAAATAAAACTGCATCAGAGATTGCAGTCAATTTGTGTTTTACACTATACAGAAGATAGGATGACTACAATTTCTCATGCAGCTATTAAGATATATGCTACATACAGCAGTTCTAAATATACCAAAAGATCAGTAAAGACTTGTAACAAAAAAATCTACTAACCTCCTACAAAACCCACGAACCTTGCATTATTGTAAGGGAGCTACAATAGTTTATTTGGCTAGTCATATTTCAACATATTGTACTAGTCTCTAACATCAATTGATGATAAGAAACGTTTTACAAAACGGCCGTAAAGAGGCCATAATCCAAAAAATAAGTGTCCTATGAAATATACAGATTTATACACTTGCCACCACTTTGCAAATGATAATAGTGCAAAGGGGACTAAACAATATCCCATAAAAACTAAAGTGTATAGCTTCAGTATAACCCACACAAATGGTACTATCTTGGGATCCTCCAGGAATTTCTTCACTGTTCTGTTATTTATCAACTTAGGTTCCAGCTGCAATGAAACAAGAAATTATCAATAAATATTCAAATGGAACAAATAAATACTATAATAAGTTCACAAGAAAATTTGGTCATTAGTTAACAGAGACATCAAGTCAAAAAAAATTTTTTTTAGATCTTTAAAACATTAGTTTTGCTTTGACAATGAAATTTGTATCTTAAAGAACACTATTTATTTAAAGTTCTCATAAATTTTTGTTAATTTTCCAATAAATGTTTGTCCTCCAGGAGAGGAAAGTAAATTTTTGGAAAATGGATTGCAGTCCTACTTAGCACAAACCATGATTAAATTTGTGATTGTTTAATTAATGTTCGAGTACAAGTTTCATGAAATTTAATTTCAAATGAACTGTGAAACTCATTTTGTCTTTTTTTTATAGAGCATTTATAGAGCAAAATTAAAAAATTACTTTTCTCATTTAAATCAGCATGTAAGGTTAGGCATACCTTTTCTGAATCCTGTAAAACCTTTTAACACTTTTGTATGCTCAGAAAGGTGTTAAATTTTAGTGTGTCCAGTACTGTGAATGTCATACACCATTAAATTCCATGAGGAATACAACATACATATTTTACTGTATAAACTGAATAAATAGTCACTGCAATTTATCACATCACCACCAACCCTAGAAATCCTACTGTGATGTACGTAATCCAACATCAAGTATTTTCTGATCTTCATGTTCAGACTAGATGTCCATGGAAAAACAGTTCCTTGCCTTCCAGGTCATTCCTGCATTAGCCATCCCAGTGACTTTCCAAAAAACTTTCCTTACAGTCTTGAGAGTGAGAAAATTTTATATTAACATGTGCAACTGGAGAATGTATACAGCACCAGCATTGGAAATCCCTTGTGTTCCCACTATTCCAAATAGAATGTAAAGGTTTTTGTGGGCACTTGATAAAAAAATCGATTGATGGTAAAAACATCCGTCCGTCCGCGCTAGCACCTAAACTGTTCAAATGATTTTCTCCAAAACTGATATTCCTTATTGATCTGAATTACAGGACCTATAACTTTGAAACAGATCTCGGAAGATATATGGTGGTACTTTACATGAAGCCTTAACATTTTCAAAAGTTCTCACAAATGGTTCCAAATAAATTGGTTGAACTTTTTTCTCAGATAGTGTAAAGGATATTTCAAAAAATGGTGCTGGTTTCATTTTTGTTGAAATCTCTAAATTTTAGAAAATTGCAAAAATATATATACATTTTTAGGCATCTTCCTACAAAGACACTATTAAAGATAAAGATTTTTTTCCTTAATGAAATCTTTTCTTCAATCCCAGATCTTGAAATAAAGTCTTGTCAAATTTTAAACAACTATTTTCCCAAGAATGGCTCTAAGTTTTTCTTTGGATAAAGTACAGACACAAAAAAAGTCACAGGTGTTCTTTCTAGTGAAATTTCTGTTATCATTGCAAATTATCATTGCAAAAGTACAGTATTCATTATAGGGATTTTTTCTTAAGTGAAATCTGTTCTAAAAATATAGATCTTTAAAATAAGATCATGTCCAATACTTCGTAAAAGGAAGTAGCTTTTACATAAGTTTTGCTTGAAGTCAACCCATATTTCAAGTCCCTCTGATGCATGAACACAAAATTTTTGTTTAGTTTTCTTCAGTTGTTAAATTAAATATCATATTGTTTCAAACATTTTCAAACAATACATAGTTTCGGTTATGGCAAAAAATATTGTATTAGAAAGTTATTACCATACAAACAATTACAGATTATTTAAATAAGTGGCGCATCACTACTTTTTAGATGTAATTTTTATTATCTCACAAAAAATATTAAAACTAATCTTTTTTAGAAAAATCTTTACTTTTATGACTTATATTGATGTGTCTAAAACAACATGACATAAAAATGTATCATTTAACTTTTCTTTTGGTGCTTATTTTATAATGTTAGACAAAGTTGTGTGAACACATCTTTGGGAACACACTGCAGCATTTAGCTTGAGGCTAATTGCTCTTTGGGCAACTGGTGGTTTGCTTAAGTCTTTACTTTAGCCGGCTTGTAATTCATCATTATCTTCTTCAGTTTTTTTTAACTAGAAACTGATAACCTTGTCCGTACAATTTTGATTAGCCAAAATACATTTTATGTATACAATTTTATAAATGGATCAGAAACGTTTTTCAACAACTGTGGAAATCTAATCTCTTTTACAAGAATGGGATACAGAAGAACAAGAAAATGGTGTTGGGGATGTGGTAATAATTCCTCCGGATGTAGACAGTGTTATTGATGAAGAAAATCTAGATTATAACCAGATAAGTATTTTTTAGGAGGACTTATTACATTGCCTGTAGTTTATATGCTAATACTCTGAATAAATGAAGCTGCACTGGAACCTCCTCATATATTTGGAACATTTGAGGTTCAAAGTGCTACTAACAAAGTAAAAAATACTGAAGCAGATACTGGAATAGTTTCCTGAACCTGTAAAGAAGCAGAAACTTCCAAAAAACTATGAAGTTCATCCCGAATGGACAAATGGACTTGGAATGGACTTGTTTTCGACAGGTACCATCTGTTGTAGGACAGTATATTAGAGCATTTGTGAAACAGGCATGGTAACATGAGCAAAATAGAAATCATATTACTTTTTATTACTAAACATGTACTTACTCAGATTGTAAATTTTTCTGTGAACTATGTGTATGATGATAAAAATGACATTCAATTTGACGTTACAGAATTGTGCCAGTTCCTCAGTATTCTAATTTTGACAGGACCTCAAGCTAAAATGTATTGAAATTTAGATTAAGATAAAGGACTTAAAGTTTCTTCATGTCTTAGATAATTGTCGATTAGATACAGAAACAAATTTGCCAAACTGGGGCAGTTTTTTGACCACTTGAATAAAAATTGTAAACCATTTAGAATTTTTGCGCATAAATTATCTATAGATGTGCAGATGATAATGTCCTAATTTTGTGAATGCCTGAAAATTTAACAGAATTGTGAACAATAAGAAAGAACGACAGGTGGATTTTAAATCCAAAGTAGCTCTCATGTTCATGAAAACATCCCTTGAAGCACCTGATGAACTATAATAACAGTGGTTCACATTTGCAGTCATCTTTGATGGTAAAAACATAAAATTAAAAAAGATAATAATAAAAATATAAGATGTGGCCTCTGCAAGTCACAAACAATTTATTATTGCTCAAAATGCAATATACCAATAAATGTAAAATGTTTCAGAAAATTCCATGAAAAATAATTTATTAATATGCACTAGGTCTATGTTGAGGTCAGTTTACATTGAGAGCTGACTTTGGTTACATTTTAATTTTGCCTTATCTTTAATCACCAAACAAAAATAGTCTGAAAATTTTGCCAACACTGTTCTTTCCATGAAAGTCAAACTTGGATGGAAGTGATCATGGGGTTATCACAATTTGTCTATCTCAATGGGTCAGTAAGTTGGTATATCATGATGAAGCTGTGTTGATGTTATGGTAATAGATTAGACACCTGTGGAATCGAGTTACAAATTTATTTTGTGGTTTAAATTAATTAAGAGTTGACATTGAACCTCCTTTCTGGCATCTGCTAATTTTAAATCTGTGAATCCTTTGATAACTTTTGTCTATGTATTTAATCATTACAGAGGGGGAAAATTCTGATTTGAACATTTTTGATGTTGCTTGAAGAGTAACATATTCTCAAACATTGGCTGAATTTTATGTTCCTCAACATATAGTAATATGTATATATTATCCATCTATAAAATGCTTATTTCTTAAATAAGTGTAATTATTGTGTTGGAGAAAATCAATGGTTTTTGTCAACATTGTTTTAACTAATCCCACTTGAGTGTAATCTAAACAATTGAAGTCTGTTATTAGCCCTGATAAAGTCAAGTAGGCATTGTTATATACATTGTAATATACATTGGAGGCCAGTGGATTTCAAGTAGTACTTTCAAGTAGTAGTTCAATATTGTAATTAACTCTTTCAGCCCTAAGCCTTTAACACCATGTTAATTCTCTAATCCTGGCCATTTTAAAGCATTTCGGGGAATTTTTATAAGGTGATCTAAATTAAAGATAGGGGTATGAAATTCATGGTAAATGAAATTTTGAAATTATTAATATGAATACATCATTGGTTCATCCTAAAAAGAAAAGGTGCCTTGTCATTGCCACCATGGCATTCTGTCCTCTTCATCTCTGTATAATTTCTGAAGTGTAGTCAGTTTTGAAAAAAATTCAAAGTACTAAATATAATATTGAAAAAAAATGTATACAAGGAAGTGTAGGCATTGCGGCTGGATTCCATATACACTTGATTTCCAGGAGATTATTTGTTTTACTTGATTATTTCCCCTACCCAGCATTCATCTTAATACTAAAGTTTACACTCTTGCCAGGTTGTGAGATACTCTTAGATCTTACTAAAGCAGAGGTAATTCCACTTCCAAAAATTGGCTTTTCAACCATCAACCATATATATTTAAATAACTATACTCACATCTTTCTCCATTACCATGACAATGAACTCCAATAAAAAGCATACGTAGTATCCAGAATGGAAACCATGCCAAATGGCAAGAAAGAGCAGAGCAACTGCTTGTGATATAAAACGATTGCCAAGAAATTTGAGTCTTTTATAGACGTAGCTAAAAAAAAGAAGATATTATTGAAACAAAATCATTATGATCATGTTAGTGACTACAATTACAACAGCAATAATAATAATAATAATAATAATAATAATAATAATAATAATAATAATAACAATAACAACTGTCACAAAAAAACATGACTATGGGGATAAAAGGTTCCAGAGGACACAACAAAGACCAATTTAACCAATCAATCGTGTTCTACTGCACCTGGATAAGAAGCCAGAATTTATTACTTATGGTGTTACATATTTAATACCCAAAGACTCCCTAACGCAAGAAACCCAACAAAATATCGGCCATTTCATATTTTTCAACAATATATACTACATTAATACAGTCACTTTATTTCCCTTTGCTTCAAAATTGTCCCTGAGATCTTACACTTTCCTTTCCCTATCAACAACTTCTTTCTTCTTGCCCTCCCCTCCTTTTGCCTTGACCCCTACCTTCTCCTGCACAATGTAGCCCTATTCCATAGTTCAAATGCCCAATGTAGTTACAGTTCTGTAGACATCTAGTAAACTCTTGACCATTGCTGGCTTCACTTCACCAGTAAAGTATAACTGCAAGGGTTCTTGTTAATTTCTTTGGAATAATGTCATTTATTACATAAACTAAGGTGGGCTACATTTCATGTTTTGCATTACTAATTCCTTATAGATTTAACCACCGTTTTCTATATATTAATAATGTTAGAATTGTGTATGTTGTCAGATTCATCAGTTTCAACTGTTGAAAACAGTAATTTGTAATATACAAATTAAACTTTTAACAAATATTGTCTTCGGAAATGTTTTCAAATTTAAAATTTAATTCTATTTACCATTCTGTCCTTCTGTAATTTGTTCATAGGCCTAATATGATATATTTTTAAAATAAATGTTTAGTTCCTGAGGACAATGTTCAAGATAGAACAATCAACAAAACGTGCAGAAAGAAAAAGAACCCCCCCCCCCCCAACAAATATGTAATATGACATGCACTTGTTACTGTTACATATGGTTTAAGAGAAGAAAAAGTTACAAGGACAAAACAAATGTTTTTTTTACCGATTTAAGGTCGCTTGTCAACTGCTATGGTCATATAGCGACCAACGTAATTTAACTTTATAAAAAAATTACAACATTGGGGTTACAGTAGTGAAACACACATGCGGACACACACGAACATCCAGGACGGGATTCAAACCGCGACCCTCCAAACCAAGGCAGCCATGGCACTTCAGCCTTAGCGACCTCTGCTATTGAGGCTGTCAAAACAATTGTTTGTCATAGTATATAGACTCATAATTAGATTTTGGAAATAAGTCCTAATGAAATAAAAACAGATAATTTGTTGCACTGCATTTAGAAAGTATAGAAAATTCTTGTCTTGTTGTGGAAGGTGAGTGAAGATGAGTAGAGATAGAGCAGCATACTTCTGAAATATTATGACACAAGAAATAGACTGATTTATAGATTTAGATTTATTCAGTCAAAAAACAGTAAAAACTGAACGTGACATGGGGGGAAAAGATTAGCTAACACCAGTTTGAAAGGTTTTCAAATCTGTTATTATTCAAGAATTTTTCCAACCTTTCATTATGAAACTTTATCTAATGGCAAATATTTATGAAAAATAAGATACAAATTTTCAAAATTCAATAATATTCAGAAAACAAAAATACAGAAACTCAATGCAGTGCTTTACAAATTTGTAAGAAACAAAATATTTAAAATTTGACAGTTCTAGATTTATTACATTACTTAAACATGCTCAACCAGTGGGATCATTAGGTAAAGCTTGGTACTTTTACGTAAATTGTGACAACCATAATGAGACAATAAACAAAAGCTGGTTAAAGAAGATACTTACTAAGCAACCCAGTGATTAGTATTAGTATTAAACGATGCAATAAAATGACCAAATCTGGAAGCACCTTCAAATACTGATAATATAACATTAGCACAACCATCCCATTTGGGTTCAGTATTGGGATCTGGTGGCACATTCCCACTGTATGTGATGCCTGCAAAATACAAATGTTGCTACAAATTACATACTCACTTAAAGACAAAGAAATCAAAAGAGCAAATAATTAATCATTACCAATTAGTTATGACAAATTAGAAAATGAAGAGGATCATAAACACTCGTCTCATAACTACCTGTAATTATACATCCTCCCTCCGAAATAAGCCAACAAGAGATATATTTATAGAGAGTTACTTTTCCCCACACAGCTAACACAAAACATTTATATACAAGGGTAGATTCCTGGAACAGAATATACAAGTTATTTTGCAGCACTTTTAGTCATTAGAAAGAGCTTATCAAATGAAGGATCTGGTGAAATTTTATTCATCAACCATATTCTCATAAAACTTGCAACTTACGTCAAAAGATTCCGAAATTAAATAGTTATCTGGGTAAAATGATGTTCCAAGTTGAAACAGAGCCAAGTAAAAACAACCAGCTCCAAATCGCTGCAAGCCATATGATATACTATCTGGTAGAGCACCTCCAATAGTCTGTAAAATATTTTCAGTAATAGTTAATCCCTATGTCCCCAGTTAGGAGTCAATTCCTGCAGTTAAATTTGCAGAAACCACAAAAATAATTTGTTACTTTATAAATCAAATTCCTTTTTTGTCATTATAATAATTATTATCATTATCATTATTATATTATTATTGTTATTAAACTTAAGTTATTTAGTATATACCGGGAGGGGGGGGGGATTTGGAGCGGTTTTTGAGAAAATAATTGTTTAAAAATTGCACGTATTTCCGAGTTCTTCCAGATCAATTGGGAACTATTAATTTTTAAGAAAATTATCTGAAAGATTTAGGCTCTAGTGTTGACCATGGATGGGCAGATGTTTTGCTATCATCAAATTTTCCAGTAGTCAGATATCCACAAAACATTCCATCAACACACTGGGTAGGAGGAAGTAATTTACTACATATAGAAGCAAGATTTATTCACTTTTTCAATGTCAGGGTCTGACAACATTCGTTTTTCTGACAACAAATTGCCGGTTTTCCTGCAGCATTATAATACATACTCTTTACAATGTAAGTACATAGTATGGTGAGAAAACAAGACATACTTACTAGGGCAGGGGTCATATAATGTTTTAACAAAAATATAGGGCACCTAATTTTTCTTCTCAAGGTATTACAAAATTACAAACATACATGCATTATGCTGTAGGATAATTTTTTACTTCACATTTGAATATAATCAAAATGAAGATTAATAAACCTAATCATGTTTTATTTAGAATAAATTAAAAAAGAGCACCAATCTTTGACACTAGTGAGATGATTTTATTTGAGGCTCTGAAAACTCACATTAGATGCATCATTAATCATACATTACATCCTACTACTTCTTAATTGTAAGTTTAATAATAAATGCAACAATTTTAGCAAAAGTAATTTTTTTTATTCTCCACTTTGGGAGTACATAAACTTGTAGTTGGTGGTGGAGCTCAAGTATCTCTATGACCCTGAGAGGTATACCGGCGATAGCTACTGGTAGGGCCTCCCTAGCCGGACAGGTCGAAGGAGAGAGATGAGACAAAAAAGTACTCCAGAAGAGGAAGCAGCGCCTACCTCCAAGAGTGGCAGCTGCCAATGTGGGAAGGCCAACGTCTCCGAGGTTGAAAGAAGATGCAAGAGTCCCACCGGCTTAGGAGGCGAATTACCAGACACTTTAAACTTCTCTTAAGGGAAAGAGGGGTTCTTTAGGCAGGCGAAGCCAACCCTAAAGAAATCCTGCAGGCCCAGGAGCAGCAAAGTGGCAGCCTCACTATTGGGATAACGCTGGCAGTAGCGTTAAAACGCTAGGGGAAGGTGACACCGTAAAAGAAACCCACGATGGAAGGTCCCCCAGGATCAACCATTACGGTGCAGGGGATTGAATATCCTGTACCGACAGTCGGGGGTGGGCAAGCAGGCCCCCTGTGGTAGTCATCCAACTAATGCAGTGACAGAGATGTGGACCACTTGGCGTCTCTGTCAGATAATGTGTCAAGTGCATCTCCGGTTCAAGTACAGCTCACGCCTGGAGGGAAAAGGAATGCTGTGGACTGGACGCCGGAAAGATGGGACGCTATCCAAGAGCTGATGAAGGATAATACAGAGTTCATAGAACATTTGCATACCCAGCTGTCACTGGAAAAAATTTTTTTAAGAAATAATCCTGTGATAGTAAGGAAAACTTTGGCCACAGCACAAGAAGATGTGGGAACACTTCAATGCATGATAGATTGCTCCTCCTGAGGAAGGGTGACGTACATGCCGAGAATACAAGGCACGGCAAGAAGAGGGATGGTGCTTTAAAGGATACGGCGCAAGGAGTAGCAGAAGAGAAGAGAGAGTCTTCAGAGATCCTGAGCTCTCTGTCAATTATGAAAGAGAGAGTCAAGGCAAGAGAAGAGAAATTGGATGCTTTGCGAGCACAAAAGAAAACGAGGGCGGCACCTAGTCCAGAGGAGTCTAACAGAAGAGACAAGAAACATGATCAGAATAATCACGATGGAGAATACTCCTGGAGGAAGCCATGAAAATCAGAGAGAGATGATAGAACATCTTGAGATGAAAGGAAGCCAAGAAGAGGAGCGTTGGGAAGAGCAGCAAAGTAGTAAAAGGAAAAATAGCCAAAAGAAAGAAGAGTATAAATCAAAGAAGAAATTCAACCCAGCTATCAAGGTCACAGCTAGGCAAGGCGAAACATACGCAGACATCATGAAGAGGATTAAGAATAATGTGGATCCTAATGATTACTGTAAGAAAATACTGGCTGTAAAGAGGACCCGAAAGGCTGATGTGCTCCTTGTACTAGAAAAAAACAGGCAATATTGACGCATTGGACAAGGCTCTGGAGAAGGCGGTGGGGGAACAAGCGAAAGTGAGTGCCTTTACGCGGAAACGCCTAGTAGAAATTTAGGATATTGACGAAACTGTCACAACTGAAGAGGTACTGGAAGCGGTGAGCAAGGCAGTAGACGTAACGACAGACCAGATCTCCGACTCCTGTAGGTTACGTAGGGGATACAGAGGAATGCAAACAAGTCACAATGCTACTGAGTGAAAAGATAGCCCAAAAGCTCATAATGGCAGGGAAAATTAAAATCGGCTGGGCGAACTGTGGAATCAGAGAAAAGCACCGGATATTAAGATGTTATCGATGCTTAGGATTTGGACACATCTCAAGTGCTTGCAGAGGTCCCGATCGAAGTAAAGCATGTTACAGATGTGGCAAAACTGAACATGGTATCAAGGATTGTACTGGTAAACTGCAGTGTGTTATATGCAAGGAGGGTAATTGAATTGAATTGAATTGAATTTGCCTTATTTTACGTGGCGAGACTCGGAAATCATCTATAAAGAAATAATAAATGTACCTCCATCATGGCATTCAACAAAGGCAAAAAGAGAAGTTATGGTCAGATTCCTACAAGTTAATTTGGGTAGGAGGAAACAGGCATGAGGATTTGATGCTACAGGTCACTGCTGAAAGGGAGGTTGATGTACTGCTCGTCAGCAAGCTACTGGAAATATGGTATCAGGATGCTACTGGAAGAGCCTGCATAATAATGCATAATAAGAAGCTGAGAATCACAAAACACAAGAGAACGAAATACGGTTTGTATGGCTGGAAGTGGCCAATATGAGAATTTATAGCTGCTATTTTTCACCGAATGATACGCTCGAAAAATTTCAGAAAGATATCGATGAGCTGGAGGCTAGCTTGAAAACGTCAAAGAGTGAGGTATTAGTGGCAGGCAATTTCAATGGCAAGTCGTCCGAATGGGGAGAGACGCGCTCCGATAGAAAAGGAACTATCATATGTGAATTCATTGCAAGAAATGATATGATCATCTTAAATACTGGGGACAAGTACATCTTTCAACGTGGAGCCGCATTACCAATTTTGGATCTGACAATAAGTTCCACCAAGCTAACTAAAGATATTGCTGATTAGTCAGTGCTCGTCGAAGAAACTCTGAGTGACATCAGTACTTAGGATATTAGGCTCCATTAACGGAGAGGCCGCAACATGTCAAAGTGCGATATAAAGAAAGACCACCTTGCAATCCCAAAAGACTGAATGATGTAATGTCAACCTCCAACAAGACAAAATGGTCGACATGATGCTGAGTTCGCAAGAAAGATGGAAAACAATAGAGAAATTCATAATTAGTGTTATGAAGAAGAAAGAGCTAAGACTGACGAAGTAGAGCATCTGCTTCAAGCCAATCTCCTACGTGAAGTAGTGTCTAACGACGGTTTCACACTGGGAGAAAATATGGTTTAAGAGATGGAGGTTAGGTTTTTAGTCGGTAATCCAGTTAGGAGTCCAGCATTACCAGCTTCACTGGTATCCTCAAAGGATTTTCCTCCTCCACAAAAAAAAGTAATTTTATCAGTGGTGACAAAGAATTAAATATCTATAGTTAAAAATAATCTCAATTGTATCTACCGAACAAGCAATAAAAAATGAGTGTGTTCTTGATGAAAGTTCTTAAATAGACAGGTTGAGTTAAGGACTTGGATATTTTACCCTGTGACAACAGATTAATCAGAGTTTGATTTTAAGTAAAAAAAATATACTTAGTATTTTCTCTCAACTCTTAGACATCAATAGTAAATAAATGGGACTATGCAAAATGCAGAACGTTTTGGGGCTACTACTTTTAAGAACAACTTGACAGAGACCAAGAAAAACAGAACATTCCCTTATTTTAGGACATATTACAAACCAAAATTAGGCATGAAACTCAACTTTTGTAATTACAAATAAAATTCTTGAAGTGGGACATAATGAAATTCAGAGAAACATCTACTGATCATATTTATCTTGGGAAGGGAATAAAAATCTGTTCGCAATAAAGAAAGATAAGCATCCCATAGATATGCATAGTTTTGTGTGATTAAAAAAAAAAATTGCATGTTTCTAACAATAATCCTGTATTAAATGTCTAACAAAATTTAAGATTTAAAAAAAACTCCCTTGGTAAGAGTGCATAATACCGATAACATACAAAATTGCTTAAAATGCAGAACACAAATACTTACATGACGACCATGGACAAAATTTAAGTAACGTTGCATTGGAAACTGTGGCCCTACCAGAAAACTGGAAGGGAAAAACGTGTGACCAGCTACTTCCAGAAAAGATGGAAAGCTTTTCAAAGACATCTTCTTCTGTTCAGGTGATAACTCTTCCTGTAAAAATAAAAGAACATAATTATTATGTTACGACAAAAACATGTAACAGTTTTGAGGATATACACTCCACATATAATTATACACTCCACAAGTAAATAAGTAAACTATAATTTCAATAAATTTTACTTCATTAAATTCAGTATAGTTTTATTTCAAATTATAATACAAGACTATTAATTTGAATACTAAATAAAAATTGTTGTTAATCCATGTTCTGCTATGTTTTAGTTTGTCTCGCAACACAATACATAAAATAATACAAAAATTAATGATTTATTAATTAATCTCCTAGATCTGTTGTTGTATTAACACATTCAACCAGTACCACCACCACCACCATTACTACAATTTCAATTACTATTACCACCATATTTTTGTCATCATCACCAGGGAGTCTGATGTCTTCATGATTTATACTCTGCCGTGTGCAGTGTCATTCAGCAAGTTGTTGCAACTTCTACTAAGCTATTACTGCTAGTAATAGTGATGATGATGATAATGATAATTAATAATAATAATAATAATAATAATAATAATAATAATAATAATAATAATTATAATAATAATAATCATAAAACATCACTATAGCTAAAACCCAGAATTCTGCTGGCTGATGGATAACATGAAAGAAATATCAGTCACTTGAATTAAACTGTTCAAGACATTAAAATTCTGAATTTTAGAATTATAAAAGAGTGCTTTTCTGTCACTGGTTATTTTCAAAATATATGTCGGAAAACATTCTCATCAGTAAAACCATTTTTATGTGCAAAGTCTTATTTTTCTTTAGATACTTCATACTCAAACAGTTGTGTTTTAGCAAAGCAAAGAAGTATTAATATAATTTCTTTCCCCATTCCTTAATAATTTATAAGCAAATCTCTACAACAATATTAAAATAACTTCACAATAACTTTATTTTACTACCCTAAGATTTGGTGTCCTGTCTTACAACTTCTCAAATGAAATTATGTTTACTTTACCAAATTATTTAATAGATATTCTTGTTAAATAGATGATAATATAATCAATATTAAAACTATTTGTTACCTATCTTGCAATCTCTGAAGGTATAACTTTTTTTGAAAATTTTAGGGAAAGGCATTACTTTGCAAACCGAAACTTTGTATCTCATGACTTAAAGATACACGATACAAGACAGATTGCTACAAAAGGTACCAAAATCGTGTTTGCAATCTGTTTGCTACTTTCAATATGACTAACCTTGATAAGGTAAAATTGGGCAATGTTTACACACAAAAGCTAATTGAAGAACTTATTCTTCACTAAAGTGACTGTAGAACAATGTCTGGAAATTCTCAGACGAATGTAAAGGCAATCCTACAGCAGCATATAAACGTCTTTCTCTTAGATTAATCATTCAATACACCTGGTGATGCCTAAAGTGGTAGAACAGCCTACAGTATCCTACTGTCAGCTAAAGAGAAAGTGACACTATTTATGAAATAGTAGATTTGGCTAGTAGGAGATCTGCAATTATCCAAACCAATTTTTGGAGAAAAAATCTATATATATATACATACATATACACACCACACATGCATACCATACATACATAAGTAGTACATGCAAACATGAAAACATACATAGATAGTTTAATATTCGATTTCTTTATAAATAAATCTTACAGCATTTACAGTTTTCTATAACTTGCTTCCAATACACCAATTTCACACATTTTTAGTTTTTTATGCCTGATGCCTTTTTACTTAATTTTCAAGTTTTATCCAATCATTCAAATTTCTATATACACCAACACAATCCCAGTTTAATTTGGGTGAAATAATTTGCAAAGATTTCCAAAATGCAAAAATTATTTTATTTCCAAGTTCTAGTAATAATAGTAATATCAACAAGAATGACAATAATAAGAACTTCAAAATATTTAATTAGACCGCTGGTGAGGTAGATACCTTTTAATAATTAAATATGGTAAATTAAAGGTGTTGGTTAGTATAAAAAATTGTTGATTCCAGACAACACCTTTAATTTACCATATTTAACTTCAAAATAATTTAACAAGATACCTACATAGTTGTTTTTTCTTTCCATTATAAATGAGAAAAAAGTAACATAAAATACAAAAAATTAAAGGGTCATTATGTTATACACACTAAATTTCACATTAAATGATAAATAAATATCCAACTCCTCTTTCAAACCCACATTCATTGTACATTACACTATTTCGGTTATAGAGCAACTAATAAGAGTTGTAAGTGTTTTTACAATTAAATTAAAACTTAAGGACACATGATCATTCTCATCTGTTGATGTACAGCATCTCTTATGAGATAACAAAACAGAAACCTCCCCTCTCTTATGAGTTTACCCTCTAGATGACAGAGAAATCTATTGTTGAAGATTTTGCCCACATTTACAATGCACTAAACTTTTATTATAATCTAACATCTCATAACATAATTTACAATATATTCCAATATTTTACTAGAAATATACACATTTCTTTTCTACTACACTTACATTCTTTCATTTCAACACAATACTCATAGGCCTACACACACTTTTATAACATATTGGTAGAAATTTTCTGTCACAATAAAATTGTGGTGACACACTTCAAACCGAAAACATAATTTCCTTTCTCAGTTTCTGAGAACCAATTACTATATTAAGTACCCATATGTTCACAAGATTAGTATATTCTGGACAAAACATACTACCACACTCACTTGTATCACTTGCAAATAGTACAAGTTCTAGTACTAATACCAACTTCCTGTACTCGGTTAACAAGGGGTGTTTGTGCGTAAAATCAATAGCAACAGTCATTGAACACAGTAATCAGTAAATACTACTTCAACACTACCATGCACTCAAAATCACTTCATGCAGTTCAAAAGTGTTGTAGCAACAAAAAAAAAAAAAAAAAAAAAGGGAAGTGCAAGATACTTTTAACTACATGCCCCAATAAACATAAATGTCAAAAAGTACAGTAAGTAAACCAACTCTCTAACTACCAACGCTCATCGCAATGAAATATTTAGACCCCACTGAACATGCTCTAATTTATTTAACATAGCATAATTTATATTTATGATGCAGCAAAAAATGGTAACTTCAGAAAAAACAACAACACTGAATTTCTTCTTGGAAAAATTACACTTAATTCAAAATTGGAATTGGAAATAAGACTCCTGAAACAGAATATTATATTTAAAGTGTTGAACCCAAATTGATTTTTCTTTCAGATGAATGGTAAACATTACCTTTTCACAAGAAAACTCACTGGGAGATAAATTATTGTGGATATATTTGGAAGTTCCAATGCAAACGAGATGCTAAGAAATTCAGAAAAAATTATACAAAGGACATTGACAACACATTCATATAAATACAAAACAAGTTGATTAAATATAGATGATGACTTTTTCCATGATTTTGCAGGTAGCACACAACTTCATTCTTTGTTTCAATTAACAGTTGGAGTAGGAAGAATTAACATAGAAGCACCTTGTATCTTTAGTCATGATCTAAAGGAAAAATACCAACATTTTTGTTGTTTTGTTTTGGAAAGACTGAAAATATACATTCTTTTGCCTAACAGCCAATTAGTATTATTCAAATTACCTTTAAAGGTCAGTAAAATTAGGTATTCTGAAAGACAATAAATGTTCACAGTTTTGGTAACTGGCATACTGGCTGGAAGGTGAAGATAAGCTTAATATTATGGAGTGCATGTTACATTATAATGTACCAAATTTTTAAAAGATAAAGGCTCGATATGAGATAATCCCACACTAGAAATACCTCGTGAGAAGCCCAGTGGGAAATGCTTTGGGAAGGGCTTTGGAATATGATCATGTGGAATTTGCAAGCATGGTTTTTGTTAACAGGCAAGTGAATGAAAATTGTAAGAAGTACAAAAGCGTTATCGCACCACATACTAATATATGGTGATCCTTGGTTCATACATTTCCCATTGATGTTTGAGAGAAATTGAATATTTTCTGTCATACTTCCATAATCCACAGTCAAAGCCAGATCTCAAGGTCACTATTTGAAGAAATAATACTCGACAGTGTAGCACTCAGCACTCAGCACTCAGCACTCAGCACTCAGCACTCAGCACTCAGCACTCAGCACTCAGCACTCAATCTAACACATGGAGCAACAGCAATGCTGACTACTGCAGTATTAGAAGTTGCTCCCTTTTCCAATTCAAGAATCTACACCTCAGGTTTTGTGAACTTCAAACCTTACAGTTTTCATAGAATAGTTACTATAAATTGGCTGTCAGTTTAATGTTTGAGAGGTGATTGATACAATGTTTCACCACAAATAAGAAAGGTACTTCATACTGACAACAGCCACATATAGCCAAATACAATTCTCCACGTACTCCTCTAAAATCATTCGCTGCCCACAAGCCCCTTGATCTCTGTAACCAGCAAATCTGTATCTACAGCTATAGGGATGTTCTCTGACCATTTCAGAAAAAGTTCATCCTCAAGAAATCAATTTTTCAGAATATTATACTCTTTGCTTTGCTGTACCAAAATGTTTCATTTATAACTTTTGAATTTAATTAGGAATTCCTTTTCTCATGGAGGAACTTTTGTCAATCTGTGATCCCTAAACACTTATAACACAAATATACAGTTTCATCCAACTAAATTATTTATGGATGGTGCATTAGACAAAAAAACTGATTTTTTTCATACTTCAACTACAGAACTCATTATTTCTGCTGTTCATATAAGCAATCAAATAAGAAGAAGAAAAGCTGAAATGCAAAATGTATTTTTGTAGCGTTGAAAATGCTAGTCAACTGTATGAGAGCGTAGGCTTCCGCAGCCTGAGTCAGTATGTACTTGGAGATTGTACCTGTCTGGGAGACGCCCCGTCCAAGGCACAGGTGCCGACAGGTTTCGGTCGACATTCTACCTTCCTCAGGTCGTAATGCGCGGAGATGAACTGAGCATGAGTTAATATAGTAAGCTACGAAGTTCCCT